AATCTACGCGCGCTGTCTTCATTTTCCTGTTACCGTCGAAAACAGCCGCGGGCGTTATGACGAGTGAGGAAGGGGATGCCGGCTCGGAGAACGACCGATACTGTGATCGTTTCTCTGAATGCTTTTAGCATTACCGTTGGTTTACGACTGAGGCAATGAATGGTCAGGTGCATTTTTGAAGGGAGGGACGGGGGGGGCACATGACCGATCGACACACGGTCAGCAGCATTGCGTTTGGCTGACCAGTTTGACAGTATACACAGATGGAAATCGACATCGGATTGATGGCCTAGCAGTAAAAACCAACAGATTAGCAGTCATAACAAACACGAATCGTTATGGCCGATTTCGAAACGACACACACTACTTAAGTAATGCAAATCAAAGTCGGTGGCAGTGAAAACAAATCTAAAAGTTGTGTGATTTATAATCCGGACTATGTGAGATGGGTGGTACGGCAGTATGGCTGAACTCTGACGTCAGCAGTGAGACACTCAAAGAATTCGGTCATGAATCGACCATCAATGCTAATTCGACTGCAAGTATTCCGGTGGATATGAAACATCGCACTCTTTCGATCGATGACGAAACTAGTCAACGACGGCCGTGAAACAATGAGAAAAAAAGTAATTTAACTCACTTTTTGAGGGAAGAGTACAAGGTCAAAACACAAAACTCATAATGTTTACAGAAATTCAAGAGAAAAATACAGTGCCTCAAAGCTCTGCAATGAACTTGATCGCTCCCTCAAAGTTGTACCATGAATGTCCAATTCTATTCCAACGATCAAAAGTACGCAGTAACGCGAAATTTAAATATATCCCTACTGTAGCATTGTGGTCGGTCAGTAATGACGTTTTGCTCCATGCCTGTCGTAGCGTCGCATACGCAGAATCGTATTACCGTACACAGCCTCCATCTGAGGCGTTCAGAACGAAACGACAATGATCGAAGTCTAACCATTATTTCTGTTTCAAAACGTAAACTCTCTATGAGATCAGTTGATTAGCGTTTAGCATTTGCTTCAAGCCATGAGTTTCTCCTGTGAGAGGGAACCGAAACATGTCAGACACCGACCAAGAGGCCACCGTGTAACATGAACGAACAAGGGAGAGACAGATCTGTTTTTTATTATTTAATTCGAAAAATATTTCCTTCTGAGACGCAATAACCGAATATCACAAACCAGAGACATTCCGCTCATACTGAAAGGAGAGGCTGAAGGTGATGGTCGCAACAAAGGAGAGGTTCATAAAGGAGTGAAAGTTCCTGGATAGTAAGTGTCTAAATGAAGACTTCCCCACACTCTGAATAAAAAACAATATTATGGCAGACTCAAGTAGAATCACGTTCGAATCTAGCTGCTTAAAGCTGAGCACGATGCAGTACACTTGAAATGCATACGCATGTTTTGCTTCACCTTCGACTTTGGTAATGCTCGCCGACTTTGTTTTAAGGGCAAATTGTGTTGTTTGTGATCGATATGGTCTGTGAGTACTGAGTGAATGCGATGTGACATGACAGGCAACCTTTACACAACACTGCTACGCGCTTTAAACAATTTGCACACCACAGCGATGAACTTTCAGGCGAGAACTTTCATTGTGTGATGTCATCCGTCTGTTTGAAAACGACAGATCGAGCTATGGCTGAGACGTTACACATTGCCATGACCAGGGTTGTTCAGCGGTAAATCGGTAAACATAGCAATAAGAACCGTAAAGTCCCGCGTTCGATCTCTGACTGGTCATCTGTCTTTCATCCTTCTTTCTGAGGTTGGTAAATGAGTGCCATTCTGGGGGACAGAAACGGGAGATTACACACTATGGTTGCCACATGGCTGCTATCGATTCTGCTTTACAGAAATAAGGCAGGCACTGCTGGATTACAGCATGAAAATGCAAGTCATCACCCGATTATTAATTTAAGAGATGGGCGCCAAAATAACATCATCTTAAAAGTGTCAAAACTTTCCTCTTTTTCTCGCAAGTCGTCATGACAAAATTCACTGAAGTACCGAGCAAATCTACTCAACTCCTGAATGTGCCGACGCAAGTCAACGGCTGAACGAGGAACAGTGAAAAACGCAAATAAGGTAAAAATAACTAATAACGCTAATAAAGAAAAGTCGATATTTCGCGCCGGTAAGCTTGCTATTCTTCCACACCTGTCAAAGCGTGTCTGACGAAGACGAACAACAAAACAATCGTGTGAAATCGAACTGCGGTCAGTCAAGCGTAAGTTCACCGTCCGTTTCAGCTCACAGTTGCACAGTTTCCAAAATCACGCACCAGACATCTGATTCTGGGTTCTTAAAACAATCCAATTTTCAACAAATTCTAAATGATTAAACAATAGACTAAAGAACGAACGTCGAACAGCGCATTCGCTTCGATACATAATGACTTCCGAACCGAACGACCCCGGATAAAATGATCATTCTTTTTGGGCTGTACTTAACAAACAAATCATGTTTACTGCCCTCTTGTCCATCATGAAGACCTACTACTAGGTTCGGTGAACTGTTCAGCCGACCATTTCGAGGGTATCGTCAGTACATCACCTCAGCGTAGCCAAAGTCAGAGAAAGGAGACTGACCCTCTTAGCAAACTGTCTGAAAATAAGTCCTTCACGTCAGCCGACAGACATTCGATGAGACAGACGTCGACTATGAAATCAACATAGAACGTAGATTAGCGGGTGCAGATCTATGTTTACGGAGGAGCCGTTTCGTCCACGATTCAAAAATCCATGCCACAGAGCAAAAGAATTAGAAAGCTATGAATACAATGAACATACAAATCGGCGAGGCTACGTCGGCGAATCAGAGTGACCACGATCTCGACAAACATGCAAATAACATGCGACATTCGGTTACGCATGAGTAGAACCTGTTGCGAGTGAAATCTCCTGCCTCACCTTACAACTGCTTCGAGGCGACCGACCTGGAAACCCGCAGTTCAGTTAGCGAACGTAGTGACCGTAGTGTGAGTTTCAAAGAAACAACCACAGACACTTAGGAAAGGCAAACATTTTACCATAAACGTTTGGGCCAGAAAGGAGAAAGATAAAACGAAGAAAAAACAGAAAGGGGAGAAAAACGGGTGAAGGAGAATAACGAGATCAACGAGAATAGGGCCAAGTAACATATTGAGAAACGGCTGGCGAAGATGAAGAAAAAAGACAGATAGAAGAAAGCAGAGAAGATTGTAAAAAGAGGATGAAAGGGGAGAGAAGATGGAAAATAATATGAGTTAAAAAAATAATCAGAGGACGAAACGGCAAAAGCCACAAAAAGCAAAATAAGCAGAAGCAAAAAGATAGTAAAGAATAAGAAAGTAATTGAGCAGTAATTGAAGAGAATGAAACAGAAAAGAAAGAAGGAAATGGAAAAGTTAAGGTATAGAAGTAGAAAGACAAACAACTAGTACAACCATTGTCGTTCCATACGTCTGTACTGTTCTTCTGCTTTGTTTTGGAAGTGACTCTAAGTACTCAGCCAAAGTTAGGTGTCACTGCAAGAAGTCACCTACGAGTAAAAACACTAGAACAGTTTCACGCCGTTCGCTAACCCGTGAACAGAACACAAGCATGGGTAGTCCAGACTTGAGGCTCGAGTTACCAGTGATCGATACATTCGACAGTTAAACTACGTCATATACTAAAAATAAATGCCTCGAAATTTGGAGGACAATCGGTAATATGGCTTTGATTAAAGCATATTAGAAACAATGCACTGACAGTCTGCCAGAAAGCTCGCTAGAGTTTGAAGGACGACTCCATAATTCCGCAAAATAATAAAGTACTCATTTTGCCCAGGCCTATATATCCAGAAGGCGCTTTTAGAAACGGACGGAGTTCAACTTTTACGTCAGGATGCAACGACGAAATATGAGAAATGGCATAAGCTGGGAAGTGCAGAATGATTCATTCGGTCGAAGGAAATTGCCAATCAGTTCAACTCAATAGCGGTAGAAAAGGCAATAGTTTGAAGTTTGAAATCGCGGACAGACGAACATACAGATTGCCCACAGTAATATGTATCTATAATGTTAAAATAGTAAAAGAGTTCTTTAAGCGAGTGACCAAAATTTGATTTGGAAGGTCATGAATGAAAGAATAACGAATAAAAACTTTAGGTACAATCATTGTGTAGGGTATAAATATAAATATTGTATAAACATATATCAGAACTTAACTGAGAACTCAGCTAGTTACCTCAGAACACCGGAGTCAATCTTAATTATATATGTTGTTGCACATTATTCACATTACCTCATGGATGTACTTGGATCTCGAACGTGATTTCGTTCAATCCAACTCAGAGATGCGACCCTGCATCAAATGC